AGAGAGAATCCTAGAGCTCTGAGTCAGGTAGAAAGAATACCTTAAGTAAAATAATAAAGTCTGCCTCAAACTAGTAAATATTTTTCATTTTAAGATTTCATGTCATTATAATTTGTTCCGGTGGACAAGAAGAGCTTTTGTCTGAGAAAGAACTGACAGGATGTCTTAGGATTCAACTTCAGTTGCTCTGCCTGTCACTCCGTCACTGGAGCTTTGTTTTCTGCCTTCGAAGGACTCGGTGAAGGGAAGGCGTCTATTGTTAGGTATCCTCTGAATCCGTAAATCACAGACTGGTGGCAGGGAGGGGCTCCCAGAGACCATGTGGATCCGCCGTCTGTGTCTAACACACGCGCAAATAACTGCCTGTTGTGTATTTGTAGAACCCAGTGGGAGCAGAGGTATAATTTCTCTTGCTTTTTAAGTTCTCATGTGTCTTGATTCGTACAGTTATATTCTTGAGTCTGTCCCAGATTTCTCTTGCCGTAGTTCAGGCCTCCCTGGTCCCAGTCAGCTGTTTCACTGTCCTGGCCTGTGGTTCTGGTGACAAAACCACCCCTGTGCTAATAACAACTGTGTCCAGACCATGGCAAGTCACTTCCCCTGTGTGGGTTTCACATAGTCCTTGTGAAATGTGGCTTTGGGACTAGATGCTGTCTCTGGCACTCATATTATTCTGCTTGACTCTGAGATTCTGGCTCTGGGAATCTCCTTGTCATTTCTCTGGCTGGTGGCCTCCTCTTCTATCAAAACCCAGCTCTGTCCCACCCACCCCATGGCTGACCACCCCAGCACTCCCCTGTGACGTAGGAGGAGCACCATGTCATTTATTCCTTATGTTGTTCATTTGAACAACCGTTAATTTTCACAATACAAACATTTCTAGATATTTATCATAGAAAATCCAGAAAATCTAGGTCAATGAGAAGAAAAAATAACGTCTCAAACATAACCACTGTCAGCATTTTGGTATATTTCCTTCTAGTCTTTATTTTTTTTAAATATACTTATACATGGACCTGTGAGATTCATACTATATAGTTTGGTATCCTGCTTTCCACTTCATATATAATGAGCATTTTTATATATCTCTAACATTTGGAAACATAATCTTAAATATCTGTTTAAAACTTTACGTGTCATACTTTATTTAGCCTTTGCATGGTTATTTCTGAATGAGAACAATGCCCGTCCTGTCAAGCTCACTGAACTACCCAAATCAAGTGAGATAAAGTGTGCCACGTGCTACACAAATGTAGCAGTGATTCACTGTTATATTAGTTTTATCTCTCCAAGTGCTCTACTTTTTGTATTGTCACAAAATTGTTATACATTTTCCTATTCACCAAATTTTGCTCAATGGTGGGCAAAACAAGCTATCTGGCTTTAATCTTTAAAAAGGAATGTACATACTAATAACTTCTGAATTTTTTTCTAGCAGTTTCGCAGATACTCTGGAAATTACTCAAATCTAGAAAGAGAATATGCACAAAGATGTTCATTATGGCATTATTTATAATAGCCCCAAAGTAGAAATCACTGAAATGCCCCATTATAAGGAAAGAAGTTTAAATCTACTTTCTGGGCTGTTATAAAGCTATTAAAAATGATATTTTTCAAGTCTTTGTAATAAAATAGAAACTGTTTATGTCATCATCATTGGAAGAAGCAAAGATGAATGAAAAAAAGTGAGAAGAAAGGCATCAAAATGGGAATAATAGTTATAGTATTTTAATATAGTAGTTTACTTTCTCTCTGCTTCTCTACAATGAGCACATATACTTTGGATGGTTGGATGGATGGATGGATGGATGGATGGATGGATGGATGGATGATGGATGGATGATGGATAGATGGGTGATGGATGGATTGATGATGGATTGATGTTGGATGGATGGATGAGGGATGGATGAGGGATGGTGGATTGATAGATCAACCTTATTTTTTAAACTGTGGTAAATAATGTATACAACCCTGGCCAGGTGGCTCAGTTTGTGGGAATGTCATCCTTACACCAAAGGGTTGTGTGTTTGATTCCTGGTCAGGGCAGATACCTAGATTGTAAGTTTGGTCCCCGTTGGGCCACATATAGGAGGAAACTGATTGATATTTCTCTCTCTCTTCCTCCCTTCCTCTCTCTCTAAAATCAGTAAATATACCCTCAGGTGAGGATTTCAGTAAAAAGGCTGTGCAGAATTGGGGAGTATGGGGCATAGAACTGAGCTAAGAGAAAGACTGTCGCAGTTGTGGGTTGGGGGGTCATGGGGGTTGAAGCCAAGACTGCTCTGGGACTTCTGGAAAATGCTCAGAACCACCAAAGGGGTCTTTTATTTTTGGAACAGAGTAGAACCAGGCACTTCACTTGAACATGGCGATATAATTATAAAAGGAGAATCCAAATTACTAGTTCCTCATTTGCTCTGTCTCCTGACCAGTGTGGGCAGGACCAGCTCGGTGAGGAGCTATGGGTAACAAGAGCTGCAAGGAGACTGGCAGTAGGCACGCTCTGCTATGAATTAAAGTGGAGAAAGACAGGTTTTGTGATGTATGAGTTTGGGTGAAAATGACATCAACCTCCAGCAAAGTTCCCTAATGGGTTTAAAAAAATAATAATTTCAGACTTGTAGAAAAGTTGTAAAAGTCTAGCTAACATTTCACATTTACCCTTTGTCCAGATCCCTCAAATGTTAATATTTTACTGTTTGCTTTTTTCTCTCTCTCACTACACACTCACACAGTTTTCTGAACCATTTGGGAGTTGGCTGCCTATGACTGGAGGTCTGTGGTGTGGAAGTATGTGAAGTCCTCACTGTGGTTCACCTCACTGTGGACCAAAGGGGCACACGAATTTGGATTAAGGAAGAACATTGTGAAATTCCACAGTGGAATGGGCTGCCCTGTAAGGGGGTGAGCACCCTATCACTGAGGGTGTTCAAAGACAGATTGCTTAATCTTTCATTAAGGAATTTACATGGAATAGGAAGTCAAGTGGGTGACCTTTGAGGTCTTAGAACTGCCTAAGCATAAAGCTAGGGACTGTCCATCTCAGAAGCCAAGTCCAGGGGTGTCCCAGGGCACTTATCACCAGTTCCAGATTAAGTCTAGCCTTCCTATGCATCCTCTTCTTGTGCCCCCTCACAGCCCTACTTAGCCATCAGGATACTGGGGTACCCATGAAGCTTCCCTTGAGACACATGCCTACCGTCTTCTGAGCATTTCTGTTACTCACAAGATCCTTCCGTGTGACCTGTTACCTATCTTATCTGTGCCACGTGTGGTCCTCACTGACTCTCACAGCCATATGTTAAGCTCCAGAACCAGCAAATGCTTAGTGAGCACTTGTTAATGTGCCTGCTATGCCCCTGGATGAGTTGCTGGCCTTATGGCAATGAATAAGGGGTAGTGGGACTGGCCAAATAGTTGCAAGCATAAAAACTTGGCTGTAGGCTGCTGAGGGGCTGGGCATCAGGAATGTGGAACAGGAGTGATTTAGGCTTGGCTGGGGAGGAGGTCTCTCTGCAAAAGTGCCCTTTTGGCTGGAATCTGAAGGAAGACAAGCAGTTGGCAGAGAAGAGGTTAGGGGCCGGGAGAGCATTCCCCTCATGGCTGCAGCCCAAACTGCAGCCACACACAGAACAGGACTCCTGATAGGTGCCGCTTAGGGTGTGAGGAAGAGAAATGAGGACTGTCTGGCTGGGGGGGTTTCCTGTGCCCTGCTCACCCAGTGCCTGCGCTGAGTCACTCTTGACTTGAGGTGGGAGATCCAGCATTTGCAGGTCTGTGTGTACTTGGTGTGCGTATGTGTACGTGCAATTGAGAGAAGCTCTGAGTGCCTTCTGAATCCAGTCCCAAGTGACACAGGAATCGTTGGTGCCATTATTCCCCTTTGTTTATGTGGATGATATAAGAACAGGCCACGTTCCAAACATCTCGGCACCCCTGCAGTGACAACTCCTTTGAGAACATGTAGATACCTGTGATTTTCTTAATTACTCCTGTACACCCACATCTCTCTCTCTCTGCCTTAAGCAGGAGGGGGTATTGAGGGCAGGGTGCAGTCCTCGCCCTCCCAGACCTCTGCTCCTTCTTTTCTGCTGTCATCTGTGTTTTCACAGCCTCCCGCTGCTCTCCCACCCCGCCACCACCCTTCCTTCCCCCCACACTGACTTAATCTGAGGGAGGAGGCCAGTCTCCCTCAAGCGCTCATACCCAGCAATTAGTTTCCATATTGCCAATTCCAGATAAGTAGAAAATAACAGCAATGGAACCAGGACTCAAAGCCTGTGCAAAGTGCTAGGCATGCATTACCGTGACATTTGCATGTGTGCCACATAGGAAGACACCTATCAAGCCAGGCACAGGGGTGGGCGGGGTCTGCTGGCCAGGGAGTTGAAAGAGCTGGATCCCAGCCCTGCTGGCTGTGCTGCCCTGACCACTTTCCATCTGTGGGCCTCAGTTTCATCTACGAAACGGAGAGGTAGTGCTAGGTTCTCCCGCCGTTTAATGGAGCACACAGGCTGCAGATGTATCACGTCTGCCCTCCCACTTTGTGCAGCCGGCACGGCGGTAGTTAGCCGTCCCGATGTGCCTGGAAGAGATGGCTTCCACGCCTCGACTCCAGGAGCAGCAGAGCCCAGAGAATGCAGGTGGAAATGTCCAGAAAGAGGGGGCAGAGGAGGAAAGGAGGCCAGAAGAAAGAAAAAAAGTAAAAGGAAGCCTGGAAGTGAGGTGACAAACAGAAATAAACACATATGACACGATAGCCCAGTGGTTCTCCAGTGTGACCCACGGACCTGAAGTATTACGTGGGTACTTGATAGAAAAGCAAATTCAGCCCTGCCAAATCAGGAACTCAGGGATGGGGCCCGTTTTACAAGCCCCCCCCCCCCAGGTGATTGTGGTGCACGCTAAACTCTGAGAACTAATAGGAGTTTTGAACTTCAACAGTCGCCAGCCTGCACTGCTGGGAATCACCACTCTCACGTTCCCACCTTTTCTCGTAGATGATGCGGTTTGCCTGGCAGAGCTATAAGCGTTACGCAATGGGGAAAAATGAGCTCCGGCCCCTCACAAAGGACGGCTACGAGGGCAGCATGTTCGGTGAGTGAACATCCGGGAGACCCACTGCCGCCCCGGTGGCTGAGTGGAATTTATTGTTGGTTTTTCACCTTCTGAGCTGTGTCCCTAATTCTCCAAGTCTTGGTTCCTTCTGGGACGTCCAGGTTTCTGAGCCTTCTAGTCTTGGGGCAACCCTTATGCTTCTCGCTAACCTTAAACACTTCTTTGTACGCACTGATCATTTATTTCTTAGAGCGGACAAACTTGGGAATTTAAGTGGGGACTGTAAGTGATGGGGACGTGTTTTCGAGGAGAAGGTTTGGAGTTCTGAAGGACACAGGACTGAGTTTAAGCTCACTCCTCTGAGTAGAGCTGTAAACTGATACTGGGTGTTTTCACAGAGAAACCGAACACATTTCCAATGAGATGGACACGTGTGCAGCCTTTAGGGTGTGGCGGTATGTCTCTCGCACACCGACCTGGTGGATGTGTAGGGGAGCTGCACGGGTACTGGTGTATGTCCGCAGCTTGTGCTTGATCTGCAGTCCCACTGCTGATGTTCCTGACCTTTCCGCCCTGGACTCCTAACCCAGCACCTCGAAAGACTCTCTCAGCCAAAGAGACTTGCAAGGTGCCTTATTGGGGGCGGGGCCTCAGATTTCAAATTCAATACCCATTCAAATTACCAGCTCTCCTCTGTGCAGGCTTTTCACTTAAAAAGATGCCGGAGGCAGCCTGGCTCCCTTATTCCCTGAGAGGCAGGGGCTGCTGGGGCTGGAGATGGGTCTTCCCTTCCGTACCTGTATTCCTCACTCCCTAGAGACGTAGGCTCCTGGACTCAAGAACCAGAGAACCAAGTCAGAAAACAGGTCTCAGGAAAATCTCCAAGACAGGTTTACGAGAGGCAGTCCACGTGTATGGCCCTGTCAGAAGCATGTGTGTTATGGGGAAAGGGACACAGGACCTCCCTTCCTCCCTCTTAACTGTCTAGCTTCACAGCCCTTCTGGCTACTCAGGCAATCCATTCCCTTTGTGAGGAGGGCGTGTGTGAATTTGGGTAGCTTCTTTTTTTCTCCTCTCATTATCATAGAAATGTGGGGAAATGAGATAATATCAAAAAAGTGTAAAGCAGGCAAAAATAACTCTTTCTACCACATAGATGCAGCCTCTGTTGACATCTTGGCTCATTTCTGTCTAATCTTTTCTTCTGTGAGCTTTTTTTCCTTATATATACAATTTTATGTTCTTTCTTTTTGTTTTCCTGACTTACTCTTATATCATAAGTGTTTCCCTAACTCATTTGAATTTTTCTCATAAAGAATGTTCTTAATGATTGCAGTTATGGCAGGGACGTGCCATAATTCATTTAACCATCCACTAGTGTGGGACGAAGGTCATTTCCAATTTTTCACTTCTAAAAATAATGCAGCAATTATCATCTTTGGGCATAAAATGTTGTCTTAGGATCGATGCCTAGGAAGGACTCCCGAGTCAGAAGGGAGGGTGACAGATGTTTTTTTACCCTCAGATAGGAACGTGTGGATTCCAGTTTAGGAGCACAGCTGCCTCACCTGCCAAGAACACTGACATTTCCCAACAGCCCACGTCAGCGCTGGGGAAAGATGGCTGGTGTGGGTCTCAGTCGTTGGAGCTTTGGCTTCCAGTGTAAATCAGGGACACGATCAAGGAAGTGTCTCCTCCCCCGCTCCCTAAACAGTCTGCAGATATTCAGGGAATTGGTGGTAGGTGGGGTGAGGCTGTTGATATCTGACATTGCACGGCATGGGCATAGCTTTAGCTCGGACTGTCACGCAGGACAGAGGGAGCACTGCTGGGAGGGACTGAGCTAAACTGAGTCCCACTTTGTAAAATTCCTCAAGTCCTGAGATGTAAATCTCAGTCCCCTGCCCCTTTCTTATCAGTGAGCCTGGTGAAGAGTAGGAGCCTGGAATGGTGGGAAGACACCTGGACCTTGATTCAGAAGACCTGGGTACAAGTCCGCCCTTGGCCCTCAGTTGTCTGCGTGGCCGAATGCAGGTCACTTAACGTCTCTGGGCCCCTGATCACTCGTCCTTCATTCTGGGGCTGCTCTGAGAGGATACCTGGATATGCAGGTATCTTTGAGTGATTTACACTCTGCATTGCAATAAATGCGGTTAGCAGTTGCCCGGGTGAGCCCACAGCGGGTTCTGAGGGCCTTCGGGTTATCTGTCTCCCAAGAGTGGCCTTGGCAGGGCCCTGGGTGCCCCAACACCCAGTGCCTATAGCACTCCTGGCAGTGAGGCAGAGCCTTACTTCTGCACCCAGCAAATGAGCCATAGTGGGCATCTAACTCCTAGGAAAGCAGACGTAGAGGGACTCAGGCACCAGACAAGGAGAGCTAGTCTTGATTTACTCACTTTTTCACTTAACAGATGGTTATTTGGGGCCTTGCCTAGCGCTGACTGCTAGGGACATGTGGTAAATGGCACAGCAAAAACTCCACCAATTCTGCCAAGACATATACTGGCAACCCTCCCCCAGTCTCTCTGGGATCTGTCCAGGTGCTCCTAGAGAGAGGGACAAGTAGAAGGTGATCGCAAGTGGGCATGTGACCAGTACTTCACTGGCTTTAGGTTCGGTGCCTCTGGAGCCCAAAAGACGTGGGATCAAATTCAAGCTTCACAGCTTCCTGGTTTATAACCTTGGGCAAGTCATTTCTCTCTGAGCCTGAGTTTTTCTGTAAAATGGAGCAAACAAGAACATCAAACCCCCCACTCAGGGCCAGCCTGACACACAGAACCTGCTTTACAGGTCGTAGCTATGATTACTGTTACCACAAACGGACCTTATGATACAGAGGAATGCACCACAGGTGAGGGCTTAGGGGCATTCTAGGAACCAGGAGGAGGCTCCGGTTTGGGACACACCCGTGCAGGGCTTTGAAGCCACACTACTCCCAAAGACAAAAGGAGATGCACTGGCCCAAAGTAAGCGGCTTATCATACCAGCACTTCTTTTTCTGGATTCACGTGGGCTGCTGGGCAGCATCATTTCTGGACCCTGCTGCTGCCGTCATCGATGACCTTCCAATAAGCAGGGACCTGCAGGGAATGGTCAAGTGGCAGCAGTGCTCACCTCATCCACCTGGCTCAGCTGATGTGCACAGAACCCTGAGCTGCCTCCTGGTGCTGTTTGCATGCAGGCTCTTACAGCTTCCTCTCCAGGCCTGCAGGGCCAGGAGGCCTGCATATGGTGAAGGGTGAGGAGTTCACGCCAGTGCCGGGCTTTGCAAGATTTACAGGATCTGCCGCGAGGACATCAGATGGCAGCCTGGTGTCCCTGTCGGTATATCACCCAACTGAATTTCCCCTCCCAACTGGCCATGTGCCCTCCCTGAATATGTTCTCACTTGGAGAGCAACACTGCTGGGTGAGATGTCTCTCAAGCCAGTCCTTGTGTCCTAAGCAATTCAGTGTCAAAGTGGCTTCCTTTTTACCAGCATCCAACTGATCAGAGGCTGTGAGCAAAGAAGACAAGGCATAGCCTGCTCCTCTCCTGGGCCCTGGCCTCTTTCCCCTTCCTCTGAGAGGTGACCAGATGGGACAGTAAATGTCCAGGTGGGTGGTGAAAAGAACATGGACTTAGGATCCAAGTGAGCCTGAGTGAAACCTCTGTGTTGCCACTTAGCAGCTGTGTGGCTTCTGACTGCAGAGTGGGACAGAGGCTACTTCCTCCTGGATTTGTGGTGACAGAGAGAAGACATGCACTGGGCCTAGCTCCATGCCAGACAGAGCTGGCACTTGATGGGAGTGCTCTTGTCACTATTAAGGCACAGAGGGGTGTCTGCCACTTGAAGAACAGATTCCAGGAGGGGTGGCTAGAGGAACCAGCCACAGAGCAGCAGAGGCCCAGCTTTCTCACTTGTAATAAGGGGCTGCTTCTAGGACATGGGGGAATTTTAAATAAGCCAGGTGGACAGTGTGGACTCTTGGGTCCAGGGAGCTTGGATTTGCAGGCTGTTGTGCCACTTACTAGCTATGTGATCTTGGGCAAGTTTCTTAACTTCTCTGGCCCTTGGCATCCCAGCTATGCAGTGGGTACAGCAACAGTACCTACTCACAGGGTCGTTCTGAGAACTGAATGAGTCAATACATGAGAAATGTTCACGTCCATGCCTGGCACAGAGGCAGCATCTTCATATTCAGCTGCCCTGAGGATGATGGAAGGTCCTTTGGACAGTTTCCCTGGTTTTCACCAAGGCGTGCCCAAGCCCTTTGGACCCAGGCACCCACATAAGGGCTCTAGGACTTTCCCAGCCCTGCTCCCTCCTTCCCTGTTCCCCCAGCCCTTGAGTGCCTGTGGCAGAGGTTGTGAGTGGGCAGCCCAGTGATAGGCGCTGTACCTCTCACCCCTTCATCTAAGCAGCTTACAATGGAATGTTTGACAGGGCAGAGGCAAGGGAGGATTGGGGTTCAAAGCAATGAGATAAATCAGCCTCCTGCTAACAAAAGGGTTTCCAGGCGAGTGGTAAGTGACACCTCACACTGAGTGCCAGCTGCCAGCCTTGACGAGCATTAATTCTCCCAAGAAGCCAGAGCGATTTGTGAGAACTTCATCCACCTTGGCAGGGGGAAACCCTCACAGGGCACAGAGTACTAGCTAGGAGGTGGCCACTACAGAGGCCCTTGAAGGCAAGCCTGACTCCCTCATCTTAGAGTTGGGGAAATGAAGCTCAGAGAGGGCAAGGGACTTGCCCAAGATAACACTGAAATTGTCCAAGGCCAGATTGTTGAAACACAGACCTATGGTCATGGCCAAATCACCACCATGAATGAAGCATTCTCAAAGCGTTAGCAGGAACAACTGTGGGGAAGTGTATGATTTGGGGGCCAGGACTCTACCACCCCCTGTAAATGTGTCACAGCAGGCACTGCTGCTGCACTCTCTTGTATTCTTCTAACAGCCCTTACCTATCTTATCCCCATTTCACAGATGAGGAAAATGAGACTTGGTGAGTTTTGGAACTTGCTTCGTCACACTGTTATCAAGCAGAGACACCA